TTATAAACGAAGTACTCTCATAACCACTCGGTAAGACAGGAAGGATGATTGTGTTGTCAGTCTTTTATTATCACGGAATGATTAAATGATCAAAATGTGGCGTGCTATTGTATTTGCTTCGATAATACCTTGTTTTAGTGCATAAATGGTGGATTACCAACAGGTGACTGGAGTGTTGTAAAGATCGTTCAGAATTGTCATACAAACTCAATAGTCATGAATGCTACGATGAAGTCTGATGTAGTTTAAGAAACTGCGGGCAAAGAATTAGGTACACATCCATACCATAATTAAGAGATTAGTGTTCAACGACTTGTCGGAAAGTTTGAAGTAAGTCCATGTGCTAGCTTTTGGGCTAAATTTTGAGTAGATGAAAAATGGTTGATTCAGAATTTCATTTCATATATAAACGAGGTCTATCAAGTGCACAATACTACCAAGGCTGAACAACAAAACTGCATGTGCACTCGACTAGTCTGTAAGGTGTTGATTGGTGTTGAGATTGATCACATTGGGAGGAAGTACGTAGTGAAACCGCAGACTCCCCAGGCAACAAGCAATCATTAGTCGTTGCACTGTCAGTGTAGCTCTAATTCTGCTGTAAGGTCTTAGATTTGTGAGCGTGGTCAAATACTGTAATAAGCGCTACACATTCCATACATTCAATGCCTTCTACGCTGTTGTGGTAGATTAGCTACATTCAGGAGCAAATTTTGGTGGAGAAGATTGTTGGGGCTAAGCCAAAGAATACTTGTGGAGCATCTGACACAAATCAAACCACTCTGAGCTACTTATTACAAGGGACAGTAGAAAGTAACTTCAAATATGCTTCTTATAAACCTGCCCACTCCTATTAGATCGACATACATTTGTGTCTGCTTTTAGGTCCGTTATTTTTCATGCATCTACTCTGTGGTCGAGCATTACCTGAGAGCAAAAGCTAACTACTTAAACTTCAAATTCGGCCAGTAAAGTAGGAAAGATTTGGATCTTGGGGACGCTTTTAGCTTCGTCTGAAAATAAACAGGAGTAGTTTTCAGAGTATATGCCCTAAATGCATGACAAGATGTAGAACTCTTATCAGTTCACCAGAAGACCGTAAACGCGATGGGTGACTCATCAGGGGTCTCGATCATCCTCTTCATTTAGCAAATTATGAACATCTTGTAACAGGGCTTCTGTTATTTCACCTTCAATTTCATACTCTGCAGTTTCCTTATTGAAACGTATCCTATGAAAGTGGCAAGAACACTGGAAGTCTGCTACGAAGTGATTCAATCGTGACCACGTGAGATGATAATCGTCCAGTCTTCTCCACTTCAAGCGATCTCCTAGTTTCCACATTTCATTGTCAGTTTTTCTTCTCCTCTGAAGGTGATTCTCCTAAAGTTGTTTTCAAAGCTAGATGAGGCTTTGACTATTTAATTCTCAATAGACTTCGATTAATTAGTCAAAATTACCAGGTTGAAATGATGCGTTACATAGTTGGGAACATGGAAGCCAGCCTGGTGGCTTTTAATTATCACTTTCTTTACCTTTATCTCTCTAGAATAATTCGTAATGAACGTTAACCTACTTATTTCTAAGTAAGTAGTCGTTTAGGCTCATCAATTGATTTGCGTTCAACCACTGAGTTCCTCCAATTACCAGATCAAATCGACTCAGGCCAAATCTAAAAGCAACTGTAAGGTAATCGGATCAAACCGCTTGATTGATTGATCGATAAAGGCAGTAAGGTTTATTTTGTTGTTTCGCTTTTGCCAAAACACCGGAAAGTAAGCAAATGCAATCATTTCATTTGGATTATTCCACTCAGTTCCAACTTTGTGGTAGAATTTTCCATTATTCCGTGCAAAAGCAATGAGTTTATGTGATGCTTCCCAGAAATGAAGTGAACCGTTCAGCTTCCTTAAAAATGCGTACATCAGTCCTCGCAAAGTTGAATCACCAACAAATAATATCTGAAAAGCAGGAAATGACAAATGATCAATGATCAATCTAAATTCTACTAATAAAATAGGCAATAGCATTTCTGCTGGCATCATATCTGTTGTTAGCGAGTTTTCAAATGTTAATTATGGCTTCATTTAGTACATGGAGCTGACTTAGAAAACGCGAGTCCAAATTGTCTAATTCTTCGAAAATGTTACACAATTGAATTATGTGGTTCTCCATAAAAAGCTTACTTATTAGATCGGCAATCACTTTTGAATAACTTGAGTGTTGTGAGTTATGCTACAAGGTAACACACATAATGGAATTTGGTTTAACACACGCCAACTCTAAGATTCCAGACTCGAAAAATGTATAATATTTGTATGATATAAAATAGGAATAGGCTTAGGAGTACATCGGGTTGTCCTTAATATTTAAACCGGGGTGCGCGATAGACTTACCTCCACGTGGTGCACCCTGGACAGCGTATTTTCTTACGGCAAAAAAGTCTATCACTCGGCATTTGATTTGACTTCGATTTATTATGATTAGCTTGAAAAAAGGCTATAAGAGAAATCGCCCTCGTCAGGGCGAATCACAACGTCTTCAGATCCTCCAGTGGAATGTTGGAGGGATGTCACAGGACAAAAGATCCAAGCACAGAAAATCCTACAAACCTATGATGTAGACATTTTCACAATTATGGAAGCAAACATTTCGGATGACAAACTGAAGTTCTACCAATTCTCAGGTTACACCCTGTACAATCTACCTAAATACCGGCAAGTTGCAAGTGGAATTCTAACTGGAGTAAAAGAAGGCCTCACCTCACACTACGATCTAATCAAGAGTATGGGCTCGACACAAGACATATGTGAAATAATCAGATTAAATGTTTGGAAATGTCAAAATCACTTCAAGGTATATGCAGTCTATAATCCACCCCAGAATTTTCCCAACTTTGACTTTCTGAACGTCTCACACAAAACTGTAGTATTAAGAGACTTCAACGCCCATTCCACCAGATGGGGCTACAAGGATACAAACATAACTGTAAAGGAAATCGAAGACATGCTAAACAGCAACCCTCTGGAACTTATTTACAGCAATGTGGATCCGACTACATATTTGCACTACAATGGAACCAGAACAACTCCTGACTTACTCCTGGTTTCAAGCGACATCAGTGAGCTTAAACGTTGCAAAATAATTGACGATCCTGGCTCTGGTCACAAGCCAGTCATTGCTAGTATTACCATCGGCAGCAAAAGCATGACAAGGAAAGTGCCAACTAAGCTATCATGGAACTTCAAGAAGGCTGACTGGCCTAGTTTCACAAACATTTTAGAGAATGAACTTCACACAAGTCCCCTCAACTTCAACCAACATCCTGATAAACTTTGCACTGATATCACGAATATTATGATCAAATGTGCAAAGAAAACTATTCCCCGAGGCAAGACTAAACACTATCGAGTGTTTTGGTCTAAACACCATGAGGAACTGAAAAGAAAGCGAGACGCCCTTCGCAACAATGCTAATCAGACTGGAAGAATGGAAGACGTACAAGCCTGAAGACGGCAGTCAGCTGTCCTAGGGCAAGCCATCTTACAAGCAAAACGGACTTCCTTCGACAAGTTCCTCTCAAATATCAACTATCAAAGTGATAGCCAACGCACTTTCAAATTCCTGGGTAACCTCCAAAACAACAGGGAAAGACCCAAGAAAGAACCAATACGATTAAAAAACAAACTGCTTACCACCGACTCCGAAATAGCTAACTTCTTTGCGAGGTTCTATTCTCACAAGCAAAAGAAAAACCCTTTGTCAGATAATCTTCAAGAAATTTAAAGATACGAGTAAGACAGTTTGGTGAAATTAATGAAGACAGCAACACCAAATAATCTACTTACTGAACCACTCAGACCTTGCGAACTTAATGCTGCGATAAAACAGCTAAAGTGCAAGAAGTCTCCTGGCGAAGACGGCATTCATCCGGAATTTCTAATTAGAATGGGGCCAACAGACAAGGAAATCATGCTGACGCTTTTCAACAAAATCTGGGAGACCAGTCACGTACCTAACCAATGGAAAGTTGCCATAGCAATACCTGTACTAAAAAAGGGCAAAGACCCTAACAACTTTGACAACTATAGGCCTATCTCCCTCACAAGCGTGCTGGCTAAACTTATGGAAAGAATGGTAAACAGGAGGCTGACCTGGTTCCTTGAGACCAACAATATTCTTAGGAGTCGTAATGTGAATCACATTCATCAAGTTTAGAAATAATGTATGAACTTAAGGCAATTGCTTTTATGATGATGATGATTATTATTATTATTATTATCAGCAGTGATATAACGAAGGTACAACTTTTTGATTTGAGTATCGAATGCTACAAGAGAGAAGACCAAATGATGTGGAGATCAATGCCAAGTTGTCAAAGATTCTTGCTTCATTCAATCTTCTGATTTTAGATCTCACAATATTTGCTAATAGCCAATTTATGTTCCAAAATTCAAATTTCAAAATTCGCCAGCCCCCCCCCCCCCCCCCCCCCCCACCCCTGGATAGAAACAAATGCTTATCTATTCATCGATTGATATTAGTTAATTAGAAAAGATTGGCCCCGTCACTTCATCACATTTTTACCAACGATTGAGGAGGAAAATGATCCCCTTGCGGTTTTAGCATTTCAGAGGTGAGGCACCCTCCACTCAAGGTGAATTCAACTAAATATCACAAGCATTCACGCAATATCAACTCACTTCAATAAAACAATCACATTCAAAATAGTAATTCTTCCATCTTTTCTCTTACCGAGTTATTCCTCATATGGCGTTGCAATTTTGCCAACAGTGAGTCAGAAATGGAGGAAATAAATACATCCCCCAAATAAATATTAAAGTAATCTTCTTCTGGTCGTCCAGAGCCTTCAAGGTATTCCTGATTCCAGTTGTCTTTTAGGGAGAATCTAAGAAGTTCCGCTTCATTCCAGTAGCATATGGCATCAGGCGAGCATTTCCCCTCGCAAGGCAATAGCCACAGGGGGTATACGCGTCCTGGCATAAAATCAATACATCGATTATTGAAAATTACCCTTGTATAGATCTGAGGACCATTGCGCATTGTTAGTTTTCAGAGCTTTTAGGAGTTCTTTCGTCGTTGACCAAACAATTCCCCCTCCACCAAAATCGTGAATACCACATGGGAGACGTTCGTTGGTAATATACGAACACGTCTGTTGCAAGTAGAAGCAAACAGATTCATTTGCTAATTTAAGAAACATTGTCTTTATTTCAGTAGTATTGAATTAAAACAAAACGAATGCTCTTTTATTAGCAAACAAGATTAAAAAGCATCCAAAAACTTAGATTTTCAATGAAACACAATTAATTATTCTCTTTATCTTTATGTCTGTCTCTTTTATATCTGTGAATCACTCATCACTTCTCCTCTCGACTTTTTGTGACTTTGGTGTTCCTCCCCTCTGTGAAGCCTGAAATCAACTAAAGCCTGCCATTTGTTATAAATAAATAATAAAATAGGAAACTATTTGAGCGTATTAACTCACTTATAAGACGTATATTCATAAGTAAATTGACATAATAAATAAAAGTTTGGATTTTATATTTAAAGTTTCTTACCTGAAAGAAAGCACAGGTTAGAAGTTTTCCATCTGGAGTCGCTTTCTTGGGAAATTTTCTTGTTATGTGGATCTGGTAGTTACACTTTGAAAATTTCTTTCCTGATACGGTAATCTGGATTTTTCCAGGTATGAGTGATTTCAGTTTGCGGCATAATGGGAAGGAATAATTTGTAATTCCTATCCCTAAACTTACACTAGTACAAAGCCTGAAAAAAATTTAATAAGTTTATTGCTTAATGTAGACAGAATCTAGATAAAAATAAAATTAACTAAAATATTGAAGAAAAAAGAACAAAGAATAAAGTGAAATAAGATGAGCGACTTATTTTGTTTAAATTGTTGTGCAACCATTTCATGATTGATTCATATAAGTTAATCATTTTAGTGTGATTCAATGTACTCCTCAACCTCAGCTTTGAAAATATCCACTTTAAATGCCATTAAAAATCCGGATCTAAGTGTATTGGGAGCACATTCAAAGTCTTTTTTCTTAATTTTTAAATTTATATAAATTCAGTCAAGCTCTTTCCAATGCTTGGTGATAAAGATTAAGGATATGCAGTACTAAAAATATTTCACATTTTCTCATCAATAGAGTTTCCTTGGAGATGTTCAAATGGATGTTTCTTATTCGTCACCGCCGAGAGAAAAGTCACCCTTTAGTGAGTTATTAGAGCAAGTACTCTTTTAAGTCCCCGCGGATCATTTCTTCGAACATAAATAAGAACATAAGTGTTTCGAACTAGGACTATTATGAATAGACAAAGAAGATGCCATTGAGGGAGGGGGGGGGGAATTTGATTAAAGACGTCACTAAAAGGCTGCATTAATTCATACTTCAATGAAAATTTACTTCCGGATTCAGTTCTAATGGCCGATCATAACTACTCAATAAATTTCTGTTTTAAAATTTCAAATTATTCAAACAAGTTTCGCTATCTTCGCTAACTCTATAACCAGCTACCCCCTTTCAACCATTTTCTACATCTAAAACCACCTCAGCGAGTCTACTCCCTCCTACTCCAACCACTGGCCAGCGTTACTTTCAGTATAGATTTGCATAACGAATTTTTTTCATTTCTCTAAGACTTCTAATCATAAAACATCATCCTCATCGGATGCGGTGTCGACGTCTCCGCAATTCCAAATGTCCATGCGCTGTGATCCTAATCATTGTGCTTTTCAAAAATTAATTAATTAATTCAATATCATAGACAACTTACTTTGCTGGATTTTTGAGGTTCAGTTGACAGTTTTCTCCAACGACTGAGAGACAAATATTGGCATATAGCGCACCTTCCTCCACTCTGACATCCAACAAAGGCGTAGAAGAAATGATAATACTTTCTTAAATGATAACAAAATTAATAAATTCCAAAAAGATCCAAGTGTATTATCGTAGATCATGTGCAGGTTAAAAAAAGATACACTCACTATGAGTTTCGTTTGTTGAACAGGAAAGAGGGATATTTATTTCAATTCCTTGAATGAGATGTTCCTCATTGGCGCCAAGAAACGGAACCTTAAGCACGTAATCACATTAAAATTTCTGACTGTGCACTTTAAAAAAAAATAAAATTAAAATTCTCAAATCCAAAAAAATTAATTATTATTATTCCAATACCGAATTTTGTACTTTGAGAATATTTTTACTTTTGAAATACCTGAAATTTTGCTATCGAATTGAAAATGTGAAGTTTCGCCTCATAAAGTATATCGACAAAACGCAGTTTTTCGCGATAATTAGCGGAAATAAAATCTTTGAAAATGAATAGAAAGAGTATTGTGATTATCAGTGCTTCGAGGCGTTTCTTCAATCGGAGAGGCGATGACATTGTCTGAAGCCAGTTAAATTTGAACAGTTTCAAGCAAAGTCTTCTTACCCCCCCCCCTCTTCGCTCCCCCCAAGAACCAATGAGATAAAGCTCTCAGTTCCCGAAATAATCGTTGAGCATATCGTGACGACTAACCCGAAAGAGTAAGTTTTGCTTGAAAACTTATCAGCAATTCCGATTTATAAGCACGAACAGGCTTGGCTCTGAGAATTCTACAATTTTCAATGACTGAAGAAGTACTTGCGGTAAAGTAATTAATAATTATAGGACTACGTTTCTAGTATTTTAATGAATAACGGGACTTTTCATTCTGTCTCTTTAATGACATTTTGTTGGCGGGATCAAGTGAATGACCAAATGTGGTCATGTTGAGAAAAGAGCATAGGCACTAGACAGGCTTGCACAATTCGATTTGAGCCAATTTTCTTATAAGATCGTTGGCCTAAAAATAAACTTACTCAAACATTCTGGAGGGAACGGTCGTGAGTGCAGAGGATTTGTCAGCTAATCATCTATTAATGTTCATTCAGGGGTGTGCGATAGACTTACCACCACGTGGTGCACCCTGGGCAACGTATATTCATACGGCAAAAAAGTCTATTGACTGGCAGTTGACTTCTCACTTCAAACTACCATCATCTCACTCTATGCCATATTCGACTACTTCCACAGTACTCACCTCACCTTTTTTTCTACCTTTGTGTTTGTCTCTTGCATCTTTGAAACGCTCTTCTGTTCCCCCCTCTCGACTTTTTCAAATTGATGTTCCTTCCCCTCTGTGAAGTCTGAAGTCAACTAAAGGGCTAATGATAACCATCAAGACGCCTGGCATTTGATATAAATAAATAAATAAATGTTCATTCAATTTATGTTGAATATATTCAATTACAGATCATGTTTAATGTGAGCGTAAAATCAATAAATGGCATACTCGTTATACGTCGGCTTCCTCTATATCGTTGAGGTAGTTTAACTATTTCCGGGAGCTCTTCTAAACTAGCGTATTTCGCTAAAGAGAATAGCGAGGATAAGTCAAATCCGTCCACAAACTCATCATCTACGTATTTATCTTTTCACACCAACTCATGGACTGAAAAAACTTTTACCTTATTTTCAATTCCTCTAAAGTTTAATACAATTAAAAAATCATGGGAAGAATAAGGAAGTGCAACAGCGA